TGGTCTTACTATCCTTAGGTTCTGCAAGCGATGTGTGTTGTTGAGTCACTGGGTCAGCTTTGGAAATAAATGGGATATATTTGACTGGGTCAGCATCCTGTGAAATGTTCTTAGCCTTGTGGGTGCTTTGTTCTCCGTGTGGAAGAGCATAAGCAGGAAATTGTTGCATCCATGAGAGCATTGCTTCAGCTCCACGGCTGGGATCCATCTGATGAAGTTGAGAAGGGACTTGACTGCTGTTGGCAGAGCTGCTGAGGTCTCCAGATAAATCATTCTCCTCTTTGGCAGCTTCTTCTTTTGAGGTCTCCTTTTGTATGGCCTTATTGCATGGATGTTTTTCACTTTGTCTCATCTCTTTTGACTTAAAAATACCCATACTGTTCATTTGACCTTGCTGCAAAAAAGAAGAAGTGATTTTATCAGAATACTCAAAAGTCACGTCTGGAGATATTCACTTTTATTGTCCGCAAAGTTTACGAAAACTAGAAAACACATTTGAACTGATCCTACTACCAAGTGCGGTCGGTCAAAAGCTTGATATTTGTCTGCCACAGATCTCCATTTTGAATTTGTTTATACATATCAGCCACATGTCATGTATTGCAACATACTACAGCCACTGCTGCTTATTTTGGTTAAAGTAGTACTAGTTTTAAACTACAGTGTCCAGCTGTTACAAAAATAATTCCATATGTTTCTGTTGTTTTTTTAATAGAAAAACAATACTGTCTTGATTTTGGATTTACCTTAAATTTAATAAAAATGTATTTACCATAAATCCTGTTGTGGAAAGTAAAGTAGTAAAGTACATTTACTCAAGTACTGTACTTGAGTACTTTTTGGACATATTTGTACTTTACTTGAGTATTTCCATTTATTACTTCATACTTCTACTCCACTACATTTTAAAGGGGAACATTGTACTTTTGACTTACTACAGTGACTAGTGTTTTACATATAAAAACACATGATATGCTTATATGGTACAATGCATTACTGTACTTCTAATCTCCTTCTAGTTCTTAAATACTCTTACATGTATGAAAAGAGGATAACATAATAACAATAATACTATAATCCTGTGAAAATATCCATTCTGCATAACAAGTACTTTTACTTTTGATACTTGAAGTACATTTAGCTTATAATACTGCTGTAATTTATATTTGTCTGAAACGGTTGTGCAGAATGAGTACGTAAGTAAGTATATTTAGTTGCTAATACTTTTGTACTTTAATTTAAGTAACATTTACACATTTTACTTGTAGTGGAGTGTTTTAATATGATAGTATTTGTACTTTTACTCAAAATAAAGGATCTGAGTACTTATTTGAACACTCTTAATGACTAAGCTCATGATGGTTGTATAAGGCAAAAAAGGTTTTAAATGTATACATCACAAATAAGTGCTGCCTATCAACAGTTGGCGTGTATCAATAAGTGTGTAGCTTATCTAACAAAGGTTTTCAATTCATTTTAATGACTAAATGCCAGCAGTAATATAAGTTGTGTTCAGTTGCTCGCTTAGAAAACCACTTTGATTTTGATAGACGTTGGAGGTGTAAATATTTCAGATACACGAAACAGCCATTCAATAGTTAAAGTAGTGTAATCACTTCCGTGAGAAAAGGCGGATAAAGAAAACTAACCTGCGGCTGGTCTGCCGGGATGGTTATCAGAGTGAAGGACACATTCACAAACATATTTTCATTTGAAAAGTTCAAATGTTCGGTCGTCAGTTCTAAAGAAACGACCAGTACAAACGGTCGATAAGTTATGTAGTTTAATTGGTTCCATGAACTGTATAGCAAAGTAGGCAACTTTCCCACAGTCCCCAAACGCCTCACAAGTCTGATGCTTGCCAGTTGATTTTATGCCTACGTTGTTAGCTAAAATGTGCTCCACACTACCCCATGAGGGACTAAAATCATTTTTTAAGACCCAAATTATTAATTTTGTTAATGATTTGCATAATGCCAAATTAAATGTTACTTTACCAGATTGCTTCAAAGTCATAAAGTCCGATGATAATTCACTACTTTTGTAAATGTACCTATAAATTAAATCGAACTGCCATGGTTATTCTACTGTGTGCTGCGTTGATGGGAAATTGTAGGTGAGAGGCTAAACTTGTGTATTCTGATATAAGGGCTACAATAACATATGTTTGGTCAATGTGGTCATTAGTTGTTTTCATTGATAATTCGTTAGTTTCAACAATTCTAATGGGTCGCACCCTCGAAGATCATTTTGTAAAATAGCTTTAATATATAAAGTAATGTACTATTATTAATTGACGATACTTTTCGTATGCATGTTGGAATATTAGTATGTGCTACCATGTAACAAAATATCATAATGTTGATATACTTTCTGTCAACAATCTAAAAGTAGGCTTTTTGTCAGTGAATTTGCCAAACGCTGTCCTTGGTGGCCTTATGATATTTATCAGTTTATCAGTTTAGTGTAATTGCCTTACTTTCACAACGGGGTTGAATAAAGCACAATGTGGTATTTTGTTGATCCACGTAAGAGATCTTGTCTGTGATTTGTTTCGCCCAGGCCTGGGAGCAGCTGGAGTTTTCCGGTACGTGGCAACTATCTAATTTGATAATTGACAGGAGCACCCTGTGCAAAGTGTTGGTGCAATACACTTCTTGGAATGTTACGTTGGCACTTGTTTCAAAATCTGGGCTCGTCCGGGATTTGAACCCGGGACCTCTCGCACCCTAAGCGAGAATCATACCCCTAGACCAACGAACCATATGAATGTGCCACAGGCTGCAAGTATTTAGCGCAATGAATAACTAAGTAAAGCTGAAGTTTGAGCATTTACTTTGTACGACTTTTATTTTAACCCGTTGTGAAACATAAAATATCATTCTGTGTTGTAACCTGTGTAACTATGTCTACGTTTACACTGTATTCTGCTACAGATATGTGTAATGTCTCAAATATGAAAGATCAGGGTCGGTATTTTTTTTAATTAAGTGACCACAAAGTAACATATGATAAGTTAGTCAACTGTTTTATTGTGTACAAGCCTTAATTATATAAATGAAACGTCAGATGTCGTTTCTTATAAGCAGGGTGTTGCTGTCCATGGTGCTAACGTCTAAAAGCTGCCAACGCAACGATCCTAATAGTGGTGTAAACTAAATACTTTACTTAACTACAATTTTGAGATACTACTTGAGTACTTTACTTGAGTATTTTAATTGTTTGCTACTTTGTAATTCAAAAGTTAAATAGTGCATTTTAACTCCAGTACATTTATATAATACTTTAATTACTTTGCAGATTTGGATTAATGATATGAAATATAATCAACACTTAAATAATATTGTAGTTACACATGGAGTAACATCCACAAGCTATCATACAGCATTACAATTGTAAAATTAGCTGCACCTTTACCAGCTGTAATTAACAGCAATAATTATAATAGTAACATAATATATAATATTAGAAAATGGGCCATTCTGCATAATGAATACTTTCGGTACATAAAGTATATTTAGATGCTAATACTTTTTCACTTTAGTAAGAATTGTAATGCAGGACTTTTACTTGAGTATAAGATATCAGTAATTCTTCCACCTCTGACCTTAATATACTTATTTAGGCTACTTTTTAAGAATCTTCTAAGCATAGCAACAACACAATTATCCAGTATATGTGGCTTGAAAAAGAGAAATGCTGGCAAAAATGCTATGAAGGGCAAATCATTTTTTAAATATGTTAACTTTGCGATATATGGAGTGCTTTTGCCCGTGATAATTAAGGGATCAGGCGGGGGTCATTCATGGTTTACCCAGCTTTTAATTTACCACCCACTTCACTGCATATACCAGCATCTCAGTGCTCAATTTCAATCATTTCAAGTCACATTGTAGACCCAGAGGTGGAAGAAGTACTCAGAATGTGTACTTAAGTCAAAGTAATACCAGAGTGAGTGGCGATTACTTACGTAAAGGCACAAAAGTATTAGCATCAACATATACTTAAAGTACCAAAAGTAAAAGTACCCATTAGGCCATTCCAGAATTATTTATATAACATGTTTTGATTATAATTATTGATGCAATACTGTGTTTATTACAGCTGGTAACGGTGCAGCTAGTTTTAATAACTTTGTATACTGCAGGGTAGTTTGTGGATTTACTCCAGGTGTAAGTCTTATTTAAAGGTTGGTTATATTTCATATCATTCATCCACATTTTCAAAGTAACTAAAGGTACCAAATAAATACACTCCAACAAAATTGAAACCTGAACTTAAATAAATATATTCTGTCAACAGATTACACACACTTGTATTAGGTTAGTTGAAAGCAATAATATTAACTTTAAATAAAAAACAATAGGTTCAACTTAATACTATTGTTTTCAACTAACCTCATATAATAATAATAATAATAATAATAATAATAATAATAATAATAATAATAATAATAAGGAACCTGTAGACAGAATACATTTAATTAAAGTCACTGTTTAATTGTTTCAGTGTAAAGTGGATTACAAGTAGGCCTACATCTGATTTGTAGTGTGGTAGAAGTACAAAGTAACAACCCATTGAAATACTCAAGTAAAGTACAAGTCTCTCAAAATGTTACTTAAGTACAGTATACTTGAGTAAATGGACTTGGTTACTTTACACTACTGGTCAAACCCTATGGGCCACCTAAAGCCAGGATGCTGTCAATGATTAGTGCGGAGATGTTGGCACAGGGCAGGTAGAGAGAGAGAGAGAGAGAGAGAGAGAGAGAGAGAGAGAGAGAGAGAGAGAGAGAGAGAGAGAGAGAGAGAGAGAGAGAGAGAGAGAGAGAGAGAGAGAGAGAGAGAGAGAGAGAGAGATAGAGATAGGAGAGAGATGAGAGAGAGAGAGAGATTGAGAGATTTGGAGGCGAGAGAGAGAGAGAGCTTTGGAGCGAGAGAGAGAGATTTGGAGCGAGAGAGAGAGAGAGGAGGGAGGGAGGAGGGAGAGAGAGAGAGGGAGGATGCTGCCAGCGGAAAATGGCTGCTGCAACCTCAAGCCTATCCTAATACACCGAAACGACATCAAGGTGGAGAGAGAGAGTGCGAGAGGAAGAGAGAGGGAGGAAGAGAGAGGAAGATTAGGAAAATGAGAGCAGATAGAGAGAGGATGTGAGCGAGCCTGAGAGTGTTTCCTGAAAGGAGGATAAAAAGAGAGAGAGAGAGAGGAGAGACCCTGGGGTGGGCTGCTGCAAGCGGCGGGCAACACCGAGCCATGGAGGGCGAGTAAGTCCTTACATTTTCATTTTTAACATTGCACACACACACATACACCACACACACACACACACCACACACACACACACACACACACACACACACACACACACACACACATATATATATAATATATATATATATATATATATATATACAGCCATCCGCCAGAAATATAGATGATAGAGAGAAAACGCCACCGCCATCAATGTTACACCAAGCCAGCATCATGCACTCTTATCACAATCGGTGCTCTACAATTTAGCAGGCTAGAATAAAAACACCATTACGTAGTCTTGAATCAACAGCATACACCCCATTTCCGATGTGCCAATATGTGATAAATGTGAAGCCACCTACATGTGGACCTGTGCTTTTAAAACGGCTGGCACTCAACTTACAACATGACACTGGAATAATAATGTAAAGCATATTAAACAAATAGCTGTGCAACAATTCTGAATTAAATGCGTGGTTTCGCGGTTGGTAAAAACAGTCACGAAATGTGTAATATGTATGGGGGGGAGGCGAAATATGGCGAGTTTGGGGCCAGCATCGCGTCATTCAAGACATGGCTACATTGAAACGAGGGAGGGATGGAGGCGTTGTGATTTTTATCAACGTGTCTCGGGGTTTCATTATGATTTTTTAAAGCCAAACTTTATGAATGAAATGTGATTTTTTTTCTCTCCCTCGCTCGCTCTCACTCTTCCTCACCCCTCCTCTCCTCCTTCCCTTTTTTCTAATCGCCCCCCTCCCCCCATTTCTCGTTTCCTCTCCATCCTCTCACCCACTCGTTCCTTTTGCCTTCCCTTTTTTCACACGCGATCGCATTGTATTTTAGGCCTTGTGCATCTTCCGTGCGAAATATCCGAGGCACAGTGAAGCCAGACTGGCTCTATCCCATTCATAAAAAATAAATAAAACCTTATATCGGGGTGTGTTAATGAGTGCGGGCAGCAGGGGCGGAATGGAGGAAAGGAGCGTCTGTGAAACCCATTTCAACACTTGTACTTTGGTGTGATTTGAGAATGACCCAAAGAAACAACGGCTGAGAACGCATTACATTCACATTTCGAGCAGCGGCGCTGAATTATTCAGCCGACTGGCGAGGGCTGAGCTTATTTTTGCAAGAATGCCGGGGCCTCTGATGGCGAATGGGTGCGTTCATTGATACATCTATCTGGGAAACACTCATTCTTCCTCCTCCCTCCTCCCATTTGGCCATGTCTCTCCTCCTCAACGCTGGCTTTCTCTCTATCCACACTTCCTCTATTCTCAGCGCATGTAGCCAGCTAGTCAGCAGGCCCCGTTTTATTTCTCAGTATCCTCCAGATATGTTTAAATTAAGGCAACACCACACATAGTTCGTGATGTTTTACTTTGGTTTACCTTCACCACATGCTAATTAAATCCGATTTACCTCAATCACGTGATCATGGATTGATAAAAAACACTACCCTGGCTATAACTGTGTGATTTGAGCTGTCATGTTGCAACACCAGCTGGCAATTCTGTCTTCATCGTGAAATCTCAGTTCACCGGAGTTGGAAACAGTTGCCTTAGCATCATAGTACCCTATTTTTATTTTTTTATTCAATTGAATGAATGTGCTCATCTTTGCTTGCATGTTTGCAGGTTTTGGTGTGAGTCTGTGTAGATCATTGATCATTGACATGTGTATATCATTCATGAATTAAGATGCCGTGCATTTACCTGCACGTTGGTCACTGGCAACATTCTCTTTTTTTAATTTCTGTTATGTTCTTCCTGCACAATTTTGTATTGTTTATATCTTATATATATATTTATGTTGCATTGTTGAAGGAGCCTGGGACTTAAGGTTTCCATTGCCATACCTACGCTGTAGCTACTGTACATATGACAATCTTGAATCTTGAATCTAAATCTTGAATCTTGCGTTGTTTAATCAGCCTAGGCCTCTGCTCACTCTCTTGGCTTCCCTGACAGTGTGCGTGTTCGTGCAGTGGTGATGACACGTGATGACTCCAGTGGCGGTTGGGTGCCCCTTGGAGGTGGCGGCCTCAGTCATGTGGTCATATGTAAAGGGCGGAGTCAAGACGGCAGGGGGCGGAGAGAATACATCATACGTGGAGAGCGGCTGCGAGATCGAGCAGTGAGTGTGTGCGTGTGTGTAAAGACTGTAACCACCCGAAGACTGTACATCATGTTATGTAGGAACAGGAAACGATGCATCCTGGTGAGGGAACTAACTTCCTGGGTTTGCCATGTGTGTCTTTAGCCGGTGTTGGAGTGTGCAGTGCAAAGGGGGTTAGTGTACAACAAGGTGAACCCCATCTTCCATCACTGGCGAGTAGAAGATCGAAAGTTTGGCCTTACGTTCCAGAGTCCTGCCGACGCCATCTCCTTCGAGAAAGGGCTCCAGACTGTCATAGACAAGCTAGACAGAGGTACATGAGTCATATGTTAAAACTCTCATCAGCTGTGCTCGAAGAGGCTTTAGAAAGTATCTAACATGACTAAATCCTCTCTATCCATGTCATCAAGGCTCTGACTCGCCCTCGTCCTCCACACCAGAAGAGGCCGACACCGAGGATGATGGACAAGCTGTGAGTATCTGAGCATTTGATCAGTTGAGCATCTACTCTCTAAGTTATTGTCGTTACCATTGGGCACCTTATGCCGTTATTGGTGTGTCTGACATGTAGCCTCTGCCAGTCTCATACAGGAAGTGAGTCGTCGTCCAACAGCAGAAAGGAGATGCTTCCCAAACCCCTCACCATAGTGACGAGCGAGTCGTCGTCTACCTGCTTCGTTCTGTCGGAAGAGTTTAGTTTTGGATCCAGCCATGCAGTCACCACTCAGACGCCTGCTCAGGTAACATCGTCTGCTCAAAGTCCATCACATGTGTCTCTGTATGTGTTCTGGTCACACTTGGGGGCAAAAGAGCTTAAAGGTGGGGTAGGTCATTCTGGAGAGACCAGCTCGAGTGCGCTAGAATTTGAAAATACACAGCCGTAACAAATCTGCCACTTCCTTACAGAGCCCCTCCTCCAACACACACAAACGCGCACATGACCAATGAGGGCATGAGATAAGTTTGTGCACAGATGGAAGGCTGACAGGCAGGTAGGCCATCCAGTTATTTTAGACGGGCCGGCTAAAATGATTGGTCGTACTTTTTACAGTACTACGGCTTCCACAGATGACATTTTTTAAAGGATTTTTTGTCAAAGCACTTCAGATATTCATTGCTATCGGGATGTTAAGAGCATTCCATGGAATATAACAAAAAGTGTATCTCGAGCCGGTTTCTCAAACTTACCTACCCCACCTTTACAGAGTGCTCTTACTTAGATCCAAATTAGAGGTCATTTGAAAGGGACATATCATGAAAAACAAGCCATATAGATTTGGCTCCCTTTCTTATGTCACACCTATAGGCTCATTAGAAAAAACCGCCCTATCTGAATCTTTCTCATAAGCCAATCAGAGCAGACTTTTTCGAAAGTGTATCTTAAAGAGACAGGCGCCTAAACAGAGCGTTTCAGGCACAGGATGCATATAGGTACACTCAGACAGACGGTATGAGAAAAATAATGTGTTTCTTAAACATTAACGCATGTAAACATGAAATGCAAGTATGGACCTAAAAAGTGACACAATATGTCCTCTTTAAATTCAATATTAGAGCTAAAAAACACAGAAGGTGGACTGGTTGATTCCCCCCTTGTTTCTCCATACTTAAGTCCACATCTGCAGACATAAATGGATAGGTGAAATGAAAACCCCCCTCGACTGACTGAAGGGGTCTTGATCATCTGTACTCCTGTTTGAGATGCCCTCAGGATGATTGCCTCCTGTAACACCCTGTTCCTGACTCCCTCTGTAACTCCACCCCCTCTCCACAGATCCACACCAGGCCGGGACAGCTCTCACAAATGACGACTGTGTTGAATCCGCCATCGCCTCCGCCCCCGCCTCCTGCTCCGCCTACTCCTCCTACGGGTCCCACGGCCTCATCTCCTCTGTCCCCCCTCTCACCCACCATCTCTCTGCTGGAGGAGGGAGACCTGCACAGTGTGGACCCTTGCAAAGACCTGTGGGGTTCTCGAGGTTACGAGGACTACCGGCGGGCGGGGGCCACTAGGACTATGGTCGGGGGGCTGACCGGGGGTGTAGTTGTCGGTGGAGGAGTGAGTGTCCAGGACAAGTCGGAGCTGTGCGTTGTTCGCTTTGAGAAGGATCTGGCAGGGGTGGGGACGGCGGGCTGCGACGTGACAGTGTCTCTGGACAGTAAAGCTGCCCAGAGGCTGTCCTCGTCGTCGCCCACCTGCATGTCCATGCCCAACGCTGTGTCAGGCGTGTCCTCACCCGCCGGGTCCCCCCAGGAGACCTGCAAAGCCTCCCCCTGCTGCATCCATACCTCACTTGGCACGCCCCGGTCGCGGACACGTAAGAGAGGAGGAGAAGGGGCCAGTGGTGGTGGTGACCCAGGGGTGATCTCCCCCGACGACGACAGCCCGTGTCCTCAGGGTTCATCTTCATGCTCATCACGTTGTGTGTACTGCCGCTCTGTTTTCAGCACTTCGGAGAACGGGCGGGGCCGCTGCAGAGACGCCCCGGACCCCGCCCTGCACTGCCTGCGCCAGTGGACCTGTGTGTGGTGCGCAGAGAGTCTGCTCTACCACTGCATGTCGGACTCTGAGGGGGAGTTCTGGGAGCCTTGCTCGTGTGAAGACTCGCTGGGGGGCCACCCACACCCCCTGTGCTGTGCCCGCTGGTTGGCCCTCGTGGCCCTGTCCCTCTTCGTGCCCTGCATGTGCTGCTACCTGCCTTTGCACGCCTGCCTGCGGTGTGGGGAGAGGTGTGGCTGCTGTGGGGGAAAGCACAAGGCGGTCCGATGAGGCCAGGCTAGGGGGTGGGGGTTCCCTGGACCAAGGAGGTTTGGGTGTTCGGAGGAGAGAGCATTTGTGGGGACGGAGGAGGTAGAGTAAAGCAGGTGGAGTTAAGCAGGTGGTACAGCTCTCTCAGGAGACCCAGACCTCTGACGTGACCCCCCAAAGCCCCGCGGCCTTCCACTGCATTCCACTCTTTCTCTTTCTCAACCCGAGGCCTTCCTCACTGGCCCCTGCCTATTGGGGGCACACCGCACTCAGACCAGGCTCTGTGGGAGTCATCTGGAGCCTTCGTAGTGGATTTACTGAGGGTCGGCTGATCTAGAATCAGCGTCGGAGACTTTATCACAGGAAGAGAGTGGCATAGGCTAAGATGATGTGTACACTGTTTCAAATGTCTGTTTTTTTTTATTTAGAAAGGAAAAACACAAAAAACGAAATATGTTTATATATATGATTGTTATAATTTGAATTGGTATATTTTATTAAATGTAAAACATATTGACAGAATCCCCCGATGGCACACACTATCACGTATTCACAGACATGAGATCTTCTTGGGGAAGTTATTTGTTTCATGTTGGCCTGTTTATCAGTCAGATGAGCAGATGTCACCCTTTACCTCTAATTTTACCTCAGATGTTACTCAGCCCTTGTTAAGGAATGAAAAGAGAATGGGAGGGGGTGAGCAAAATTGCAGTCTTCAAAACGAAAGTGTGAACATCTGAGACCACTGGTGTTGGTTAACGTAGGAGACCACAGTGGAGGAAAGGTTATTAAATGCAAAGGGGCAATTAATGTTAAGGGAAGTTGCAATGACAACCACAAAGACTTCAAAGTCATAATGTGATCCATAATGGTCCTTTGTAACCAAACACAAGGTTATTTTTGTTTTATAAAAAAAGTAGAAAAAAAGAAAATCAAGAATGTGTGTCGAACGTTAAAAACACACTCACTTTACACATATTTTTTCATCTTTCCGTGTATTTTCCAATATTAACCATAGAGGACATCACATCCCAACCACTGTACTTGTTGAATCAGTCAAGGTGCTTACAACTGAGGCCTCTGCGCGAGTCTATTCTACCTAATGTACACGTACAGTCCCCAAAGAGAAAGGAAAACAGGACCCTACGCTAACCGATCCGCAGACGTGTCTAGGCCTTCGAATGAGACGCCACCAAAAACATTAAGTGCAATGAACAATGTATTGAAAGAGTATTTTTGTACCCGTCGCTCACGTTAGAAAAATCTAAAAAGTGTTGTAACTGAAAACTGTAGTGTGTTATTGTGTTCCATATGAAGCAGAAATGATAAAACTGCAGCACGTAGCTCACAGGTGTTTTGCAGACTGTCGACCCTGTGATGAGAAAAGAGGCACATTATGAAAAAAGAAGAATGGCGGTCGGTCTTCGTTCGGGCACAGTGGGAGATGTGTTTGCTGAATGTTGCTTTAATTATGAAGATAGAAAAAGCTGCTATTATAATTCCTGTCCTAATCCTATTTAAATTTCCCGCCGTCTCTTAACAATCGATGAGGTGTGGCGGCAGAGTACAACAATCCTTATCAAAGTTCTTATCCCACTCAAGGTGCTGAGGAAGTGACATAGTGTACGTTTTTGAGTTTATAGTTAGGTTTAAAGATAAATTAAACTCAAGACATTTAAAATAGAAACGCTATCGGGGATGAATCTTGCATTTCTGTGTCTATTCTGCTGATTGGCTGTATATTTTTATACTTACAGTGTTTTGCTGGCCATGTTAGTTTAAAAGCTACGGACACATTTTGTCAAGCAGAAATCTCAATATGTCAACGAATCAATGAACTCACTAGTGTTGAACTATCATGCAAGGAAATATATATTATAAGAGACACTTGTTACCCTACAGAAGTGAGCCTCTTGCAACCCAATTGCAAAGATAACATTATTTTGTAGAACTGAAAAACTGAGGCACTATTATACCTTGAACTGTTCAAATTGGTCTCCTCACCAAAATCAAGAACTAACTTATTTTCTGAGTTTTGGAAAGTTTTCTTGAAGGCTAGATGTTGATTCGAAGGTTGTGTAAAAATAGGGAACACTGACATATAGATTACAACAAATAATCTTAAAATAAATCACAAAATGCACTGAGCATCCAGAATGATGACAGTGTGAGGGGATCATGAATGATGGCAGAATGAACCTTTCAGAAGCTTCACCAGATGATTTACATATTTAGGTTTAACCAAGAACTTTGATCCAAAGTGACTTAAAGTGAGTGAACAGGCAGTAAAGAGGGTTCAGAGACAGGACACACACCTGCTGATGAACGTGACCCCTGACCTCTCGGTTATGGGACGATCATTGTTCCAAAAATAAAGGACATGCAACTCTAACACTAGACTGCCATTCCCTGATCCTAACCCCCTTTGTCCCCCCCTCACACACTATCCTCACAGATCTGCGACGCATAGACCCGCACACACACGTTCACTCGATGGTGCAGACACACAGAACTAGTGAAGCCATTGCACACAGTTTGCTACTTCTGGTTCAGAAATGGTGTTAGAGTACTGACAGACATGCGGTCACAATTTTCAGGCCCCATTCTTACATCTTAATAAATGTGCCTTTTGATTTGAGTAATCAATAACTTATGATTTCTAAGTAACTCTGTGTTAAGTACTATTTTACTTTTTTGGGTTATTGATTTCTGCCAATGTGCATATTTTCAAATGTACGTATTTATTAGTTTCAAAGTAATTAATGAGATATTACCTGTTTATTTATTTATTGAGATATTTATTCTGATTCTTTATTTTTTTGAGACAGGTTTTTATCTTCCGTGCTGTCTTACTTCTGACTTTGTGCCAATGTGCTGCTTTGAGGTGTTACATATCGTGGGTTTGTATCATTATTAAACCCTCAGTCTATATTTTAAAATCACTGTCTACTTCTCTCTCTCTCATCACGTGTCCTTAACTCTGGGACTTCTCAGAAACATCGGAGGGAAGTTATGTTAACACAAGTATCCTTAAAGGGGCCTTATTATTGTTTGGGGGTTTTACATTTCCTGTAGTGTTATATAGGTGTGTGTGCATAATGGTCTCAAAGGCCCGTGTTCCCTCCATAGGGGGTTTCTCCCCCCCCCCCTGCCTGAAACTCCTCCATTGGACTCCTTTGTTTAACTTAGTGACATCATTACGTAACACTTGTATTGGCTAGCGCTCCAACACATTTGACGTAATAGCTAGGCTAAGGGATGGGACATCTTTTAGCGGTTGACCAATCAAAACAGAGCTAACCTATCAGAGCAGACTGGGCTCTGGTTTCAGACAGAGGGTGAAAAGAGGTGCTGCAGCACAGGCAGTATGAGAACAATAAATAGCTTTTTGAACATTAAAGCATGGAGACATGTCCCAGAAGAGGAACAAAATCTGTACCTGGACATTTGCATAATAGGGCCCTTGAATGTTATCTAAGGAATTTGCAGAAGCATCAACCCTATAACTATTATTTGTTATTTTACATTTCAGTCATTTTTGTGCAATCTAGATGATATCTGGTATTGCAACAGAACTAGGCAGAGAGCTACAGAAAACACACACAGAGGCTGTTAAAGGGAAGGAACAGCAGTTTAATGAAATTCCTCGAGTAAAAAAGGGAAGAAAAATAGTGACACAAACATAACAACTTCATTCTATAAACTCAAGTATGTCCTTGACAGAACAGACGCGTTGTGATTAGTTGTTGTCCTTAGGAAGCTGCTACTTGGTAGAATACATGTGCTGCCTTTTATGTTTGAGGATCTCAGTGGAGGTGAGGGTCAGATCTTCATCGCAGACGTCACAGTGATAAACTCTGGTGAGACTGGACATGGAGGAGGAAGAGGAGGAGACTGCCTTTGCCCCTTCTGGCTCTGAAAACAAAACCCTCAGTTAGGCTCAAATGATTCATGTCCTAACAAGACAGGTAATGCATGTATTGAAGTCATCTACAGATACACAAACATAAATATGAACACAGGCAGTCGCTGACCTTCCTCTGACTGCTGCTGTTCCCCTGCCGGCCTGCAGGAGGCCTCGTGCTGCATGCGCTCCAGCGGAGTGAGAGGCATGTAGAGGTCACAGTTAGGACAGCTCCAGAAGGTGCGTAAACACTCGCTGTACAGGTCCTTCGAGTCCTGAAAATCACATCACAGAAACACAGGGTCAATGACACGTAAATCTGAGTTCTGTAAAGGAGTGGTGAGCAGTGTATTTCATGTAAGAGGAGTTTAACAAGGAAGGCTGAAAGATTTAGTTACAAAAAAGAATGAAGAATGTCATAGTATAGTTAGTTTTCTACATTTTATTAAAAAAAAGCAATACAATATTAGAGTAGTGTGCAATTAAAAGTCAAGGTAAAAGTATAAAATGTGGTGGAGTGGGGGCTTTCTATTTGAGGTCCTTAAGAGGTTCAGCCTCGGATCCAAATGTGTGTCCTGGATAGCATTGTTATACTCTTCACCCAAGGCTTCAGTGAGTACTAACGGGATGACTTCTCAATATTTGACACTAGGTAGAGGTACTCGCCAGGGTTGCCCTCTAAGCCTGTTACTAATCGCCATGGCGATCGAACTCCTATCAATCGCGCTTCAATCTGTCAGCTTTACACAAGGAATGACCAGATATGGTTCAGAACACATACTCTCGTTATACGCTGACAATTTACTATTGTTCATTTCTAACCCTATATCTACCATTCCTCAGATAATAGATCCGTTAACTCGATTCGGAACCTTCTCAGGGTACAAGCTAAACTTTCCCAAGAGCGAGTGCTTCCCTATAAATGACCCTTCAGATCCCCGATAGACTCATCACCCTCAAGATGTCTAGGAGTAATTCAAAGTACTTAGGCGTGAATATAAGTGGAAAACTCTCAGACCTTTACAAAAACAACGTCCCTAATTGAAAAGCTCAAATTTGATTTGGAAAGGTGGAATAATTAACATTTAACTATCGCTGGGAGGGTATCCTGTATCAAAATGAACGTGCTCCCTCGCTTCCTGTACCTCTTTCAATGTCTGCCAGTCTTTTATGGACTAAGGAACCAACATTGAGTTGGTGTGAGCTTGAAGCCAAATCCTGTCCCAATACCTCACTTTTGGCTTTGCTTACCAGCCGGCCGACTCAATATTCAAGTAACCCGATTGTTGTTTCCACCCTAAGAATATGGTCCCAATGTAGAAATGGACTTCATGGATCCTCTATTCATAGTCCCATTCGCAACAACCATCTCTTTCTCCCCCCTTACACTGATGGGGCCTTCTCTATGTGGTAGAGATGAGGTCTTATCAGAGTAAGGGACCTTTACATTAACAATGTTTTCGGTAGCTTTAGCCAACTCTCTGACACATGTTGCCTCCCAGGCTCTCATCTATTTCGCTACTTCCAGGTCCGTAACTGGGTTAAACTAAACAACCCTTCCTTCCCCAATATCTCTCTGGATTCAATAATTGACTCAATTCTGGACTCTAACAACCGAACAAGGTTTGGTTTCAAGAATTTACAATTCCGTTTCCCGTCTCACAGAAATATCTCTTGGTCAAATCAAACAAGATTGGGAAGAGGAACTAGTCCAAGCAATAGATGATGAGGTCTGGGATGGCGCATTAGCGAGAGTGAACAATAGTACGTCCTGTTCCAGGCAGGAAGGGAAAGATAATGACTGTATAAATGTAAACTCAATGTGCCTGACTCAATGAAAACTAAATTGAATATATATAAAAGTATAATATGTGATCAAAATGTAAACATTCTAATAGAATAGTATTCCATCAAAAAAAGTGTGGTTTATCATAAAATATTTAAGGAAAATAATTTCAGAAAAGTAAAGCATACCATAAATAAAAGAATACAGTTGTTAAAATGCCATAAGAAGGCATAGTATAGTATCCCATTCAAATGCATACTACATTAAATGTTATGTATGTTATTTCATAAAAAACTCAAACACGAATTGTAGTACAACGTGAAAAAACAAACAAATTCATAATAAATAACGTTTTAAAAAATCTAATAAAAGGTTAAATGAAATGTCATTAAAAAAACATTTGGTTCCCGGTAAAGTTCACCTAAAGTGACCTTTTCAAATGTCTGATAAATGAACATACATATATTTAACCAGCAGTTATTTTCATCCATTTGTGACGTTAACAGAATGCTGGTCATAGACTGCCACTCTTTCAGACTCACAGTGAGGCAGTTGTAGGTGAAGAAGCTGGTGACGCGCAGGCCTCCTTTGATGGGGTCCGGCTTGGCCTCCACCCCTGGGAACAGAGGGTTCTCCTCTGGGGCCGGCTCCTGAGGCCGGGGGCCCACGTACAGGTTCTGGGTCTGGAAGGCTGTGAGGCGCCGCAGGCTGTACGTGATCTGGGGGGGGGGGGGGGAAGTGTTTTTAGCAATAAGCCTTTGAGATTAACCATCTTGTTATTGAAGTGGTCCTCAGCAGCTCATTGGCCTTTAAAGCTACAGACAGAGAATCAGCACTTTTGAAACAGGGCTGAAACAGAGGGGTTTATGGGAGTGGTTCTAAACTTTTTCAGTCATTCCCCACTTTGAGGCCCCCCTGTTCCTCATCGCTCCAATACAATGGTAGGCCAAGCTTAAAATTGTCAAATGTATCGTTCTATAACAGGGGTCTCTTTCAAAAAAGAAAACAAGTCGGGGGCTACTTTTACTCCTTTTTGTTTGTTTTTTGCAGTGTATATATTTAGCACATTTTAACATTATTATATGCTGACCTTTAACCTGTGTGTGCTGTCTGGGTCTGTGGGACCAGTTTGCAGTGTTTACTCAAAGAACATGCATGCAATTTAAGAAGATTGTTTTTTAAATGCATCAATCTGGAGCACTTTGAGCACAACATGAATTTATGAAGCGGTGAGGTGCCGCTCCACATTTTAAGACCTCATCGCCACTTTGAGTTTTAACCGGTTACCTTGGCGACACACTTTACCTCACATTTACTATATACAGTATTGATTGTCCTTCCTCCTTATCTTCCAACCTTTTGGACGCAAACTTGCATTTCCCCATAACGATGTTGTTTAGCAACCGGCGTAAACGGACCTTCGCGCTATCAAGCAGTGAGCGTACGATGTCCTGTTCAGATGACGTCACATCCAACGGGATGCCATAAATAAACTACACAGAATCACACTACACACCTACGCAATGATTACATTCAGGCACACTGTAGAATACAACCTCTTTGGACCATTTATATACTTATTGAAAACAAGCTACAAAATGTAATACTATGTAATAATGTAATAATAATGCTGTTTAATACTTTTTAATAGCCTTCATTTTCGCAACATTTATTTATCAACTTTTAATACTTTTTAAGACCCCGCGGACACCCTGTTTGAGCATCTGGAAAGTAAAAATAAACAAAACAATAAATTATAATTTGCATCAAGAGTATGTGTTTGAGATACTTGATGTTTTGGGAGCACCCTACCTCAGTGTAGAGCAGGAAGCGGACCAGGCCCTCGCTCAGCTTCTCCAGGACTTTGCGGGAGACCCCCTGCTCTGGCCCCATGGTGCTCTGCGCCAGCTGGGCCAGAAGGAGGCGCTCCCACTCCCCCCGGAGGGTGAGGGCGGTGGACAGCACCTTCAGGGCCTCCCCCGCCTCTCTCAGCTCCAGCTCCAGCCAGCCGTCCACCACCAGCCGCGTGCAGTCAGCGTTACTGTCCACACTGTTGGCCACCAGCAGCAGAGCCTGGGAGCACATGCACACACACAGAGGTACCAGTGATGCATGATGGGTAAAGGGACCCCAGCTGGGTAGAATACAAATGTTGGCCACAATAAACAGGTGGGACTTTTCATAATATAGAAATATGTGAATTTGTGTCAAATGTTTTTATAACTAATTCATACAAAAAGTATGCCTTAATTGCATTTATCTGTGTAAAGTACCTGTTTCATGGAAATACTATTTCTAAGAGGAACCATTATTTATGTTATTCTCCATTATCACATACATTTCTGAAATGAATGCTTTTCAATCTGTGAATAATAATAATTAGCAAACCATTTCAAGAAACGAACACAGTGATCCGCGTGTTTTATCAGAACTGTGTACAGATGTATTCATATTGCAATACTTGAACCAGTGAATTGAAAATGCATCACACTATTTAAATATTTTCCAATTCTACAACTAAGTTAGGATTTAGGAATCACATCCACCTGTAAACTGGATCATCGTGGAGCCCGACGCGAAGAGGAGGGTTCTTGATCATTCTGAACGGTGTTCTTTCCCCCATGCACATCATCCTGCTTATTACACGGCCACGTACTAAACTAACTCATCACTTGACTCCCAATATTGATGGAAATGTTTTTTGTTTTACCTGAAAATGATCGTATTGTTTCCGCTAAGAACATAAAACCCTGTTCCACCACGCACCAATGGCTGGAACTCCGACAACAACTTCATTTAAAATGAAGACCACTCTGATGGATGTTTTCTGTGACTGTCCAAGTGTGTTCACAGTCTTTCTCCCACTGAAACGTCCTTAAACACTGCAGAGCCCACACTGTGATCCTGTTAGTGTTTACTTCCTGTCTGCCTGCTTCTGGTGATTTATCTGACGTCCAGCGCTCCGTCTTTTAACCTCTTTTCCTTTCTCTCTCTTGATCCTCCTTAGCAACGGTCATTATAGTTCTTAACAGCGATCTGTACTACCGTCATATTCATCTCTGAAATGTCAGAATTGACCAATCAGAATCGAGTATTCAACTAAGCCATGTAATAAATGGGTTTATAGGTCAACCATGACTCTGGTAGCTTACTTTAATAAAACAAAACAACGTTTTAAACTAATCCAGAGATGTTTTCTCAGGGGCCTCCCACAGGTGGTACTCACCTGCAGAGCTGGTACCCGCACACAGTTGGACAAATACGGCTTGTTGGTCTCCAACAGAGTGACGAAGGCTAGCAGCTGGTGTCTGCTGCTGTCCCTCCGCTCAGGCCCTTAAGGGAGGAGACACGTGAGACATGGTGAGAGACATGCACAACAAAAAGAGAGAAAGAAGAGACATGAGGACAAAATGAGGGCAACAACACGTTCTTTGGGGGAACTGGCCGGAGCTTTTAGGAACATTATCACAAATAACAGATGCTGTCTTTTCTAGATTTAAAAGTCAGTTCCAGAAAGACACACTTTTATCATGATTGTTTTCTTTGTTTCTCTTTATGTACTTTCAATCTCTTATCATGCTATTTTTAGGCATATATTATGGGTCTCAGATATATAAAAATATATAAAAAACATGTCTATGATGTGTTTTGCTCAAAATACCAAAACAGTTCATGCATTTTAGAAATCCCTCATATCCCTCTATTTCAGCCATGTTAGAGAAGTGCAGGTTCGGGGTCCTCAGCTTGAAAAAAAGAGGAGGGGGAGCTGGTGCCTGCTCAGAATTCTATGAGACACAGCTAAATGCTGCCGTGATTAAATGCCATATCATGTTCCAAACCACATCAAGGATTATTTGTTTATTTCTGAGCTCAAATGCTTTTTCTCTTGCGGGTTTACCACAAGGTGAGTTCCTTTTTTTATTTCCTGCTTCTTCACACACACTCTCTCCAGTACAGCTTAGCTCTGAGCGATGCTTGCTAATGTAAACAAAGACCATATTACGTCCAAAACACGTCGGACATTGTCTCTGATAGCAACGTTTCTGATAGTGCCGTGGATCCACATTTCCGATATTACGTCATATCGGACGCAAATCTGGATCAGCTCCGTTGTACCCCCGTTTTTAGAGATTTGGGTACGGAGGAAAAGATCGAGGGTTTTGTTTTCTGACATTTTGTGAGTCTCCTGACACACCGGGGACACATATTCATGTATAAAAGACGTCAAAAAGTGCATTTTGCATGAGAGGAGACCTTTAAAATAAGTTATTTGTTTACCCATGTCTCCGTCCCCCTCAGGCACTTGTAACACCTCGGGGTCGGTGGGCGAACACACTGGTCGGGTGGATCACCACTCCCTGCTTATTCCCTTGTGTGGAACACCTAAACAAATCCAAATGTGGAAGTCAGTAGTGATTCCCCTCTATCGTGTTGTTTTAAAATGTTTGAACTGGGGTGCAGCCCACCTGCTCCGAGTCCTTGCGGGTGGAGTTGTGTTCATCGGGCAGAGCGAGCTGAGGGTAGAGGCCGCGGCAGAGCAGCAGCTTGAGGAGAGCTTGCTGACGGGAGGACATGTTCCTGACTGACGCTCGCCGCCCTCCTGCAGCTCCGACACGTTGTGACGCAACTTGAACTTCAACCTCCTGTTACAGCAGCACACAGAGAGAGATCAGGGAGGGAGTGAAACACACAGACACCCCGTATCTGTGGAAGACAAATAGCGTGATGCAATATGTGCTGCCCTTTTTCTCAGTATAAAAACATATCATTCTTGTTGATTACCTAGTTAATTGCTGCCACAAACTAAAACACTTTTTTCCTGTAAATGGCTGCAGTCAGCCAAAATATCTGACACACTTCCTTCAATAAAAAGAAATGTTGAAGTTATAACTTTTAAGTATTGCAGTAAAAAGGAGACTCAATTAAAGAAAATATTCAATTGTACTTTGACTTCACCTGTATGAAGGCATGTCATGATGACATTTATATATATATATTTCTGGGATAACATATATATACAATATATATATGTTATCCCAGAAATAGTTGCAATAAATGATATATATAAACTTTGTTATGTTACTGATACAAGGAAATGTTATATTAAAGCATAATAACGCAAGTAGCCCCGTTTAAAGAGTATTTTTAAACTTTCATTCTTAAGAATATTCAGAAATTGGAAATAGAATGAGAGTTTTTCAATATTCTAATGATTAAACATAAATTAAATAATGACAGCAAAGAATAAATAGACCTTTCAATTATGTCCACGAAAAGTGCAATGTCTGCCCAACGTTAAGTCTTATATTGGTATATAAACACTGCTGTTTATTCTGGCATCATTGTGGCTAAACAAGTTCAAACATGCTTTTTCTTTGACAGGCCTACCTGTATGTCCACGTTCTGTCCTGCCTGGTCGTCCTTCTTGCCCCTGCCGGCCCCCTCTGCGTCGGACCCCGAGCTGAACTCCTCCTGCCCCTCCTCCAGCCTCAGGACTTTGCGCCGGCCGCTCTCCTGCTGCTCGTGGTCTCTCTTCATCTGATGCAGCTTCTTCCTCTCAGTGAGCCTCTGCCTGCGCTGCACGCGGTCTCCACCAGAGGGAGCGCTGCTCTGAATCTCCAGCAGGCCGTGGCTCCTCAGCAGCTCCTGGTAACCATAGAAGAAGATCATATTGTGGAACTGTTTTCACACATCAGAAGCGTCTTTTAAATGTTTGAGCTTCTGCGTATAGCCTGCCTTGAACTGTCTCCGTAAGTTGACCATCTCATAGAGCCGCTGCTCCTCCAGGCCTCTCCTCCTGCACCACTTCCTGGAGCCTCCACCTCTTTCTCCTTTCACCTGTTGGACAGTTGTGGTCAAAAGTTGACATACATGTAGCAGATTTGATCAAATTTTCAGAAGACTCATTATAAATTCATAAAAGAACCAAACTTCATGATTTTTGTTTTTGTGACAAAGTAGTTTGTGCTCCAATCAATCTGTCACAGAAAAACAAGAGTTGTATAAATGATTGAAAAGTCAATTTCAGACTCTCGTGAAATACATGTTCTTTACAAGTGTATGTAAACTTTTGACCACAAACGTATGTATAATGGAGACCGTCTTATATCCAATGCGAACATATTAAATAGTAGAGTCATAATATTCCACTACTGACCTCCACCCAGGCGTTGAAGGTGTTGAGCAGGTGTGAAGGGGTCTCCGTGGTTACTGTGGCAGGGGCTGGCGGGCTGGTGGTGCAGTCCTGGGTTGTGCTGGCGCTGCGCAGGAAGGGCGACTGAAACGCTGAGGGCCGCCGCCACCGGCAAACACGGGGTCCACCAGGGTTAAAACAGAGAGCCCAGCACCAGCATCTCCCTACACACACACACACACACACACACACACACACACACACACACACACACACACATACACAACACACACACACACACACACACACACACACACACCACACACACACACACACACACACACACCACACACACCACACACACACAACCACACATCACACACACATCACACACACACACACACAGCACACACACACACACACACACACACACACACACATTTAGTCAGCCACCAATTGTGCAAGTTCTCCCACTTAAAAAGATGAGAGGCCTGTAATTTTCGTCCTAGGTACACTTCAACTATGAGAGACAGAGTGGGGGGAAAGAATCCAGGAAATCACATTGTAGGATTTTTAATGAATTAATTAGTAAATTCCTCGGTAAAATAAGTATTTGGTCACCTACAAACAAACAAGATTTCTGGCTCTCACAGACCTGTAACTTCTTCTTTAAGAGCCTCTTCTGTCCTCCACTCGTTAACTGTATTAATGGCACCTGTTTGAACTCGTTATCAGTATAAAAGACACCTGTCCATAACCTCAAACAGTCACACTCCAAACTCCACTATGGCCAAGACCAAAGAGCTGTCCAAAGGACACCAGAAACAAAATTGTAGACCTGCACCAGGCTGGGAAGACTGCATCTGCAATAGGTAAGCAGCTTGGTGTGAAGAAATCAACTGTGGGAGCAATTATTAGAAAATGGAAGACATACAAGACCAATGATAATCTCCCTCGATCTGGGGCTCCACGCAAGATCTCACCCCGTGGGGTCAAAATGATCACAAGAACGGTGAGCAAAAATCCAGAACCACACGGGGGGACCTAGTCAATGACCTGCAGAGAGCTGGGACCAAAGTAACAAAGGCTACCATCCGTAACACACTACGCCGCCAGGGACTCAAATCCTGCAGTGCCAGACGTGTCCCCCTGCTTAAGCCAGTACATGTCAGGTCATCATTGTAAATAAGAATTTGTTCTTAATTGATTTTCCTGGATAAATAAAGGTTCTACTACTACTACTACTACTACTACTACATGTCCAGGCCCGTCTGAAGTTTGCTAGAGAGCATTTAGATGATCCAGAAGAGGATTGGGAGAATGTCATATGGTCAGATGAAACCAAATAGAACTTTTTGGTAAAAACTCAACTAGACGTGTTTGGAGGAGAAAGAATGCTGAGTGCATCCAAAGAAACACCATACCTACTGTGAAACATGGGGGGTGGAAACATAATGCTTTGGGGGCTGTTTTTCTGCAAAGGGACCAGGACGACTGATCCGTGTAAAGGAAAGAAGTGAATGGGGCCATGTATCGTGAGATTTTGAGTGACAACCTCCTTCCATCAGCAAGGGCATTGAAGATGAAACGTGGCTGGGTCTTCAGCATGACAATGATCCCAACACACACCGCCCGGGCAACGAAGGAGTGGCTTTGTAAGAAGCATTTCAAGGTCCTGGAGTGGCCTAGCCAATTCTCCAGATCTCAACCCCATAGAAAATCTTGGAGGGAGTTTGAAAGTCTGTGTGCCCAGCGACCAGCCCAAAACATCACTGCTCTAGAGGAGATCTGCATGGAGGAATGGGCCAAATACCAGCAACAGTGTTTGAAAACCTTGTGAAGACCTTACAGAAACGTTTGACCTCTGTCATTGCCAACAAAGGGTATATAACAAAGTATTGAGATGAACTTTTGTTATTGACCAAATACTTATTTTCCACCATAATTTGCAAATAAATTCTTTAAAAATCAGACAATGTGATTTCTCTGGGGTTTTTTTCCCTCATTCTGTCTCTCATAGTTGAAGTGTACCTATGATGAAAATTACAGGCCTCTCTCATCTTTTTAAGTGGGAGAACTTGCACAATTGGTGGCTGACTAAATACTTTTTTGCCCCACTGTATATATAATATCCTGCTTTATATTTTGTTACTGTAAATTTGAATTCAACATGTATATTTTTCTACTTTTTTTTAATGCATTTTATTACTATTGTGATGTTTACATTTGGAATGTTTATTTCTAGTCTTTTAATTTGTATTGTACAATGCCTTTCCCAAACATTTCCCAAATTGGGATCAATAAAGTGCTTCTTATCTGATCTGATCTAGCTGCTACTGAATGTGCAGCACCTTCAAACTTTTCAAAATATAAGAACAATAAAACTCCAACATGGTTTGGTATGGACAATCTTACCTAGACCACATCCACGGGCAGTTGTGCCAGCAGGGTACCGATAGAGGTCAGGTCAGACCGGCTGTCCAGTGCCCCCTGCTCTTTCAGATAAGTAACTGCAGTCTGGATACTAGCAGCAGGGGGAGGATCAATGAAGACAAAAGAAAGTGGATCTCCAAGACTCATGCTCTTCATCTAAGGGAACACAAAACAGCATAAATAAAGCTAGAATTGGAATTAAAAAGAGGATGTGCTCTCCTGCTTTCTCCAGGATGTCGTTACCTGAAGGATGAGCGAGTCCAGAGCCACTCTGTGGATTTCAGGCACAGGATAAGGAGCGAATGCGTCGTAGTCAGACTCTGCGTAGAGGCGGTAGCAAACTCCTGGACCTGTGCGCCCGGCTCGACCTTTCCTCTGCTCAGAGCTGGCTCTGCTGATCCAGAACTCCTGCAGACGCTGCATCTTGGCCTTAGGGTCAAAACTCATTTCCTTAACCTTCCCTGTAAAAGAATGAACAACAAAACAATCATTGATATGATGTTTGTTCTTTGTACTCCTCAAATGTCCTCAAAGTTAGAAAACATAGACAGATTTTCGAATCTTTCGGATCCTCCAAGAGACTATGTATGTGCTTTGTGACTTGTATGTGTTAATGGGTTAAGGGCTTTTAATTGTGTGTCAATTGTCCCTATGTGTTTACAGTCTGCCTCATGTGCTTTTGCCTGGGATTATTTATTTACAGATTTTTATCTTCACGGTCGACCTTCGTATCTTCTATTTTGAGATGTTTATATTGTATACTGTTTTTTTAAAAAACGAACAAAAAACGTTTCTAATTGTGTGCAATACGTTGTTTTACAAGAGGGATCAAGAATATCTTATTTTAATCTTAAATGAAATGATCCTCTATGTCAGGGGTGCCCAACCTTTTTTGAACCGAGAGCTTCTTTTAAAGTTGCCAGTCTGCCGAGATCTACCAGTCCAAATAGAGAGGCGTAGCCATACTGACAGCCTACTACCAGGTACATACACACTTCTACTTGTATAAAACTGACCTTTGTATGATGAATACTTCATAAACTACTGCAGATCCTTTATCTTACCTCTTTCTAATCTACACGCATACAAGTATTTAACTGAAGTTACACAACAGTGTTGTTGATACGGAGTTGGAGTTTATTCACACGTCACACTACAGTGGGTAATGTTTTCAAGAAACATTGAACAGTGCTGCCCACATATGACACAGGGAAAAAAGAAAAGACTCTGAACCCTTTCTTTGCCATTATATAAAAATAGTGTTGCTACAAAAGTATAAATGAGGCTTACTAATAAGACAACTCAGATCTGAAGCTACACAGGAATCTGCTGCCAAAGTGCAATAAAAAAAGACAAAATTAATAGAATCAAACCCTTTTTTTGTTGCATTTTAGTAGATTATACAAATAAATGCCTTTAAAATAGGATGCAAGCAACACTAGTTTCTTAACCTGAATTGATAATAGACTATAATCAATTGAAGTTTGCATTCTTATACCATTTTGTACAATAATTATAATGAATAAGTTCAAACAAACTAAAACTTACAGCTGATTAATAACGGTATCTAACTTGAGTTTTTATTATATCAAAAAACCTGTTGAAATGCTGCTGTTATTTTTATTGTCCCCAAAAAAGCGCGTCGGCAGCCTCCAGGAAAGCTTCTTTCACAACTTCGCCGTCTTTGAAAGACTTCATGTGTTTCTCAAGAACGTGACTGACACGATAAGATGCTCTGGGTAGCAGCCTTGCTCTTGTTGTTGGGCCGGGTGAAAATGGACTGCTGTGCATTTAGCTGTCCTTTCAGGCCCCTCCCCTTTTGGGAGCGTAGGGCAGAATTAGGAGGGAATTCCGTCTCGTAGCGTTGGTGCACTGTTTTGAAATGCCGCTCCTAAATTACCATTCTTCGATAAAGCCACGCTCGCATTGCAGATGAGACAGATGGACTTTGAATTGGAATAGATACAGAAATAATGATCCTCCCACTCGGAGTGAAAATTATATATTTTGTTTTTTTTTTGCTTCTGCCATAATTGCGGTCTTGTGTGTGTGCGGACTGTCACTCCTGTTGTTGAGTGTTGACACGGACAATGTCAGCGAAATAGTGCCCACTGCCCTGCCCACCAGCCACGCCCCCGACACATGGGGTCACGCCGGCCAATCACAAAGCTTTGATGCGTTCAAGTGCATTATTCTGGCACAGGAAAATTATGTAATAGGACATTAACGATAAAACAGAATATTGCTGTTCTATTTTTAGACACATCTCGCGAATCGACTGGGAATCTCCCCGCGATCGACCGGTCGATCGCGATCGACTGGTTGGGCACCCCTGCTCTATGTCTAAATCTGGCACATTTACATGATGGACTCCAGTGTTTGTGTTAATTAATGTGCATAGCCCCTTATTAAATAAATGAATACAAATACAAAAGAGAGAGAGACATTTTGAACAAACTTGGCTGCACCAAATAAGGTTTGTAAGTATTTAAAAAGTGAATCCCAATCTATGAGGGTACTCCCAGTGCCATACCTGAGTCTACAACGAAGCGAACTCCAGTCTATGGTAACGGACGTCTCAGCAATATTGGTGGAGATGATGCACTTTCTCACCCCAGGAGGAGAAATGTCAAAACACCTGAAGAATTACAAACAACGACGAAGAATTAGAACTGATAAGCTAACATATCACATTCAAACGTATTGTATCCACTGTAATCCAAAGGAAGGTGACGTGCCCTTGTCCTGCTGGGCCAGAGAGAGCGTGCTTGTGCAGCGGCAGGAACGATCCAGCGGCGTGTGTGTGTGGCCAGAACCTGACAGGCCTCCTGGACGGTGGAGATCTCTCCTGGACCCCGCTCAGGAAGATGAGCAGGTCACACGCGCTCCCTCGGGGGGGTAGCGCTGATCGATGCCCTGCAGGATGCGCAGGTAAGGTCTGGGATCCAGTTCTCCGAACGAGAGGGCTGCTCGTCAGGGGGAATGGGCTGGTATAACACCTTGATACATAAACAAAACAAAAAACGATGTGTTAAAGAAAATAACTAAAAACTTTACAAACCCTGACTACGATAGAAATATTACTTTTGGGACATCATTTCCTAATAAATTGTTTCTTATATGTATTGCAGGCAGACATTGTTATAATAAGGCCTTGTGTGGAATGCTTTGGCAATACTATGTTTAACATGTGGTCATGCCAATAAAACCCATTGTATAGTGTTGTATTGTTATAAGACAGCAACCACCAGGCCATTAACAAATATGAAGGTAACATATTTATATTTGCAAGAGTATATATATTATACTATTTCAAAAAGTGTTGTTGTAAGTGTCCAGAGCTCTCAAATGTACTGATAGTACATTACTTTTGATTATTTGTGGATGCATTTAAAATGAAGCCTAGTTCGAAACCAGTTACATCAAGTACAGTGCAATTATGCGTTCAAACATCAAGGCCTAGGACACAAATGTAATCTATATTTGTATATTTGTACATCTGTGTTCTCTGCTCACCTGTATAGGAACAGCCGGCCTGGTACCTGCAGCACAGGAGCACCGCTGAAGTA